ACTGATGGCTTATGGTAAATTCAAGAAAATATTTAAGGAAGAAATAATAGAGACTGCGCAAACTCTTTTGGAAAACATGAGAAGAGGGACCTTGAGGCCAGCATTACCACTTATGAAAACTAGACAAAGACATTAGAAGAAAAGTATAGACCACTATATCTCATGAGTGTAGACACAAAAATTCTTTGCAAAAATTTTAGCTATTCAAATCCAACAATAAATAAGAAAGAAAACACATTATGACCAATGAGGTTTATCTCAAGAAGGCAAAGTCCATTTAACCTTCAGAAGTCATCACTGTAATTCACCATTAAACAAACTGAAAAAGAAAAACCAAATGATCATCTCAATGGATGTAGAAAACCATTTGACAAAATTCCATATCCACTCATGATGAAAATCCTCATCAAACTAAGAATAGAAGGAAAATTCTTCAATCTAATCAAGAGCATCTACTAAAATCCTACAGCTAACATCATAATTATGAAAGACTAAATGTTTTCTCCCTTTGACTGGGAACAAGATGAAGACATATGGTCCCAGCAATATTATTCAAAATTGTAATGGAAGTCCTAGCCAGTACAGGAAGTGGGAGAAGAAAAGGACGAAATAAAAAGAAAACAGATTGGGGTCAGGGGAATTGTCTTATTTATAAATGACATGATCACTTCTGTAGAAAAATCCTAAGAAATCCACAAAAGAAGATTCCACAACTCATCAGTGAGCTTAACAAGACAGCAGTGGACAAGTTCAAAATACAAAATCAATTTTTCTTCTCTATACCAGGAACAAACAATTAGAAAATTAAGTTAAAAAAAATACCATTGACTATAGTATCAACTAAACTCCTGAGGGATAAATTTGACTGAAGAGTTACAAAATGTCAGAAGAAACTACAAAATATTGTGTAGATAAATTACAGAAGAGCCAAATAAATGGACAGATATATGCTTATGAATTAAATGTCTCAATATTGTCAATTCACCCCAAATTGATATACAGACTCAACACAATCCCAATGAAAATCCCATTGAGCATTTTTTGTGTAAATTGACACTGAATCTAAAATTTAATTGGAAAAGCAAAAGACCTAAAATAGTGAAAATAATTTTGAAAAAGAACAAAGTTGGAAGATTGCCACTACCTCATTTCCAGGTTTATTATAAAGCAGCAGTACTCAAAAACAGACATACTGATTGGTCCAGAAATTGACCCATCATACACAGTCAATTGATTGTTAAAAAAGAAGCCGAGGTAATTCAATCAGGAAAGAAGAATCTTCTTAACAAATGGTACTGATACTACTGGACATCCAAATAAACAAATCTCAATTCTTATATTAGACATGACAAAAATTAACTGAAAGTGGATTGTAGACCTAAATGTAAAAGTTAAAACTACAAAATTTCTAGAATAAAATAGAAGCAGATCTTAATGACTTTGAGCTAGACATAGATTTTTAAACAGGACACAAAAAGCAAACTATAAAAGGAAGAAATTGGTGAGCTGGACTTCATCAAAAGTAGAAACTTTACTCTTCAAAATATACTGTTAAAATAAAAAGACAACCAAGGACTGGAAGAAAACATCTACTAATTTTATAATTAACAAAGAGTTGTATTCAAAGTATATAAAGAATTGTTACAACTCAAGATTAACAGACAATTGAATTTTTTAAAAATGAGCAAAAAGATTTGAAGACACATTTCACTGAAGATGTTACTGATGGCAAGTAACCCATTAAAAGATACTCAAAATCATTAAAATTACTAGAGAAATGAAAATTAACCCTCAGTGAGATATACCAACCAGAAAGAAAAAAATTTTAAGACTGACCATGCCAACTATTAATGGAACTCTCATACAATGCTGGTGGGAATTTAAGATAGAATACTTTGGAAAGCACTTTGATAGATTCTCAAAACATTAAACATACATCCACCCTACAACCTAGCCATTCCACTTTCAGGTATGTACAGAAGAGAAATGAAAGCCTATGTCTATACAAAGACTTCGACATGAGTGTTTGTAGCAGTTTTATTTGTAATAGCCAAAACCTGGAAACAAATCAAATGTCCATCACCAGATGGATGGATGAGGAAATTTTGGTATGTCCAAACTTCAGCAATAAAGAGAAACAGACGACTGATACACACAATTGTGGATGAATATCAACATTATCATGCAGAATGAAGGAAGCCAGACATGAAAATAGTTTCACAGCTTTATGTCATAATTAGTCAAACTGTACACTTAAAAATGTATATTTTATTGTACTTAAATTGTATCTCAATAAACTGACTTTTTAAAAGCTTATCCCCATTCCATGAAGTTGTATTTCGATGATTATATGTAGTCTCCACTATTACAGCCTCTTTGAGGATAGAATCATTATCAGTAAATGCTCTTTAACAGAATAAAATTAATTGATGAGGTGGCTTCCTCAGTACTGACTTCCCCTAAAGCATGCAACACATACAACAAGCCTGCTCAGATGCGGGAGGTGTGGCAGACGGACTCAAGACGGCACCCACAATCCCTGCCTCCTGGCGTTCACGCCCTGTGTAATTGTCTCCCCTTGAGTACAGGTATTACTTGTCACTTGCTTCTAACCACAGAACACAGCAAAGGTGAGAGAATGTAGGTGATTACATGTACCTGATTACAGATATAAGACTGTAGTCCTGGTCTTGCTGAAATTTCCTACTCCCTGGCTGGTTTTGAGGAATAAGAAGCCATGCTTGAGCATCCGCACATGACAAGGAACTGTGGGTGGCCTCTAGAAGCTAAGGGCAGCCTACAGCCTACATCCAGCAAGAAACTGAAACCCTCAGAAACTATAACCTCAAGAAACTGAATCTGCTAACAAACATATGAATTTATAAGCCAACCTGTCCCCAGGTGAGCCACCAGATGAGAACCCAGCCTTGATTGGCACTTTGATTTACAGCCTCCTAAGGACCTAGCTAAGCCATGACCTACCTCCAAGAAACTGTGAGGTAACAAATGTATGCTGTTTTAAGCCACTAAATTTGTGATATACTGTTTACAGAGCAATAAATAATTCACTAGGTTTGTAGTGAGAAAGAGAGAAGAAGCAAGGAAGAAAGGGGAAATGCATTTGATAGTCTAACAGCATTTTCTACATCTAAATATAATGATTTAAGCTATTATCAACTGCAAGGTAAATAATCAAGTGAGAAGAAGTCAAATTATTTCTTTCAGCTTTTCTTCAGCTAAAAGAAAAAATGAAGACACTGACATTTAAGTAGCTTACATTAAGCATACTATAAACTGTAATAATCTTAAAAAATAAATGCCAATGAAAACAACTGGTCTAATACCCTTCATATACTTTGAAGGCATGTTCTGTTCTACTTCAGTAACGAGCACATTAGCATTTGAGAACTGCGGCAAGTTCACTGAGATGCCGTCAAACTCCTCTAATCATCCTCACTGACCACCCCTCTGGGAGGAATGAGAGCACATGAGAGGCAGCCTACTCTGCCTATTTTTCCTCAGAGTCCAAAGAGAGGGACATTCAGTTACATCACCTCCAGGCACTCTGCAGTACCACAGTTACCATGTCTGTTGGAAATGTGCAAACATATGTATTCTCCCATATCTTTTAAAATGCTATATACCAATGTCATTATGCCCTCTCTTCCAGTCCCCAGTCATCATTCCAATAGGGTGTCTGTGAGGTGCAGAAGCTAGGGTTTCTGTAGTTCTTTGCAATTTCTGTGAATGTGATTCTCAAGTCTGGGAAGGACCATGATAGCCCAAGCAGTTCATCACCCTCAGAGTCCTGTTTTCTGCTTTGATATATTTTCAGAATAAATCATTGGTATCACACCAGCAGTTAATGTGATCTCTACTTTCTCATGTTTTTGCAGTAGGGTATATATTTTGGTCTTTGCTGTAATGTGGCCCTATCAATTCAGTTATAAAGGAAGTCATTGAAAATCATGTATTCTCTGAGAAGAATGATGCAGTATTTAGTGTTCCTGTTGCTAATCAAGACATTCAGCTTAAAATAAATGATTTTAGGAGTAAAAATGTGTTACATTGAACCAGACAAAAGAATTTAAGTTTTCATAAGAATTAAAATGAGGAAAATGTTTCAAATAGTTCAAATTTGCCTGAACATATATACACATATAACATATGAAAGCCTTATATAGTATACATGCAATACATAATGATAATACCACAGACTGTTTAGGTTTATATTTGACCTGAAATTAATATTCCTCTCCAATAAACATTTTAATATTTGACAAAAATTGTTTGCCTTTGGAGAATTTAGATAAAACATTAGGAGTACACGAGAGTCAGAAAAGAGAATGATGGTTGATAGCCAAGTAGTATGTGTGGGCCATCTCATTGTTTAAAATTTAAAAAGTAGATGAAACTAATCTTTCTTTTTTCTTTCAATACATTACCTTTTAACAAATTCAGCTATATGTAAAGTGGGACTATTCCTAATATAAATAAAGTAAGCAGATGAACCAACATTAAACGCAGCTACAAATCTGAAGACATTTCTAAGAACTTTGTTTATAATAATTTAAGAAAAAAAATCTTTTAAGGATTATCCCTATCATTATATTTGAATATTCTCTATAGATTAATAAGCATGTGTCTGTGCCAGAAAGAGAAGGAAGAAGAATCAGGATTGGGGTGGGGGTAAAGGGGTTAAATGATTATGTGAAATGAAAATAAGTTCATAAGTTCCAAAATGACAGCCTGTGGAGCATGAGTGGAAGGTGAAAAGACTGAACGTGTAGATGAGTCGGCGCCACTAGGACAACTCAGGAACAAGGACATTCCCAGTAAACTTCATGACAATCCTTAAAGGATAGTAATCCTCAACCCCTCTGCAGAGCCTGACTCTCTGATAGGAATGAGGAGCTCTGGCGCTGCGGCTGCAGAAGGGCAGAGACCATCAGGACAGCCATGCTAGTGCCTCTGTCCCAAACACAGACTCGCTTACCTTTTCCTGGCGTCTACTATTATCCCACACCTTGTTGCACACCATACACTCAAAGGCATCGATGTAGTTGTCCTGGGTGACATCCTGCACTCCCCATTTCCGCTCCCTGAGAGCTGTGAGAAGTCGCTGATTAGAGATCTCACCCTTCAGCTTCCATTCTATGTAGGCCTCGTACTGTCTGTCATCATGATCCAGGTGTCTGATGTAACGTGCCAGTTCTCTAGGGTGAGAAAATTCCGATACAAGAATAGCACTTCTATTACTTGGAAGCCAGTCTGTGATGCTGGGGGATCCATAGTACACAGGGACGACCCCTAGCCTGAGAGGTCTCCAGAACTTCTCAGTGATGTAGTCTTCACAAATCGCATTCTCAAAAGCAAGGATGAACTTATACTGTGCAATGATCCTATAAAAATCATCGGCATCCATGGAGGCTGGATTTTTCAGCTTCTGAGGGAGATCTTTGTTTCGTAAACACTCACCATAGGAATCGACCTCGATGTGAGTCATCAGCTCTCGAACATAGCTGTCCCTATCTGATGGTGGGTCACAGTCTGACTGTACATACACCAGGGGAGCAAGTCTTTTTCGAAGGTTGTTTTTGGACTGCAAAGAGACTAGGTATTGCAGTGACTTCAGGACTTCTATGCCCTCCAAGTATTGGGTAGTTAGTGACAAGTGAGAATGCCGGCTGAACGTGGCAGTGTAGTTGAACAAGGTGATTACTGGCTTGTGAAAGAGCTTATAATTGTTTTTCGGAGACTCTTCATGGAAAAGGGCCCAGTCGTGATGGGCTTTCCGAGGCAGAGGTAAGCTATCTATGTTAAAGTCAGTACCTAGGAGAAGAAAAAAAAATATTAGTTATGTCCAAAAGAATTTTGGTGTTTGAGTCCAGAATACAGAAGAATTTGAAGCTCTAAACAAGATGCATGTTGTAGTGTCTGCAAAATGCTTGGCAAGCAATAATGAAGCTTTCGATCTAGAAACTACTCAGGGAGAGGGCCACCAAAGACAGGGACCCTCTTTCTCATCTTATGGAAAGGGAAATGGGAGAAGGGTCTAGCCTGGCTCTAAAAGGAGCATTTATTCCACTGCCTCCTGCAATTGGCTTTTCTTCTCAGAGGTGTTGTCTAAGAGAGGGCAGGAGAAATAAAGAAATGGATAGTTCTTTAAAAAGAAAAGAGCAAGAGAGAAGAAGCCAAAAGGGGAAAAGTAACCAACTTGGCAGATTGATTAACTGAAAAAAAATGATATTGTGCAAAAGTAGCCAGAACAAATATACAGGATAGATTTTTTTTAATCCAAAATGATCGATTTCAACAACGTATAGTGAATCAATCTTAGTCAAAATGGGAGACACGAGGCTTTTAAAGACAAAAAGAGCTGATAATAGCACTATGTCACAGACCACGGCAGGACGGACATGAACTAATTTTTTTTAATCCAAAATGATCGATTTCAACAACGTATAGTGAATCAATCTTAGTCAAAATGGGAGACACGAGGCTTTTAAAGACAAAAAGAGCTGATAATAGCACTATGTCACAGACCACGGCAGGACGGACATGAACTAACAAGCACATCAAGAAACAGAGAGGCATAACAGGATTATAATTATGAGTGATTCTAGCTTCCACAGGATTAACCTTCTATAAGAAGCCTTTGAAACTTGATAATGTGCAGACAGAAGTGATGGATGTGGTAAGCAATTGTTTCCTGACTGTGGGTAGAGACCCGATCAGCAAGAAGTTCTTTCTATAATTGAGAAAGAAGAATTAGGACAATATAATACAGCGTTTCTAAAGTGTTCCTGATGCTGGACTTTTTGGGCCTCCTGATTGGAGTGTAAATGTAAAGAAATAGCAAACAAACAAAAAACCATTTCCAGTATCCACTGGGGAAAAAAAGCACCAAATAAATGCTTCCAGCCAAATAAAACATAGTCTCTGGAAGAATTCATAAAAATTAATTATTTGATGCCAGTGTGCACTCTCTCAGATAAATAAATATGCTTTGGTACCAAAAACACATCACTAAAAATCAATTAATCAGGAAAGGCTTTTAAACAATTAAAGATCAAATTAGATTTGATCTAATTTGATCTGATTCTATGGTAGACATATACTGAGCACAGAGAATTTGCTGAAGAAAGTACTACTGTTTTGATAACAGGCTATATTCTCAATGACCAGAAATGAAAGACTGACATAGAAAAATGGTTATATATTTGTTTACTTTGGCATTTGCTATATTTGACCTTCAGGGTCAGAAAGCACAGTCATTCACACACCTGAAGTTTAACGGCATATAGGGCTGGATGGTGAGCAAAGGTAAACAGACAAACATGATGACAGAAAAGAGAATTTGAGAAGAAAGGCAATTTATAGCACTGAAGTGGCTGCTCCTCAAAAAGGTTCTAGGCTGGTCAAGGGGCCAATGATGGAAACTGGAACCCATAAATGAGTCAGAACATAAAGTCTCCACCACGGTCATGACAGAATCAAGGCCATTTGCATGGGACAGAGAAGTGGAGTCCAATCCATAGCAGTCGGAGGCAGCGATCAAGATGGAAGCTTAGAGACTGGAGGGGATACGAATAAAACAAAAGTGGGTCTAGAATTCCCTGGGGGATCAGGCACAGTTGTCTTGAGGTAGTGACTCAAACACCAGTGGCTGCCTGCTGCTAACTACTACGGGGTACTTGGGTGACTTCCAATCTGCCCCACCGTGGGTGCATGATGGCCAAGATCCAAAACGCAGAGCAGGGAAGCAGAAAGACTGCCTGTCTCCGGGGCTTCGGAGAATGGAAGGGGCCTGAGATTCGCCTCTGCTGCCATCGGTCAAGTATAAGGGGAACTATAAATAGATATATCTGGACCTTTTCATGCCAATATCTAGGCATGCTCAGCTTGTACCGGTAATAGGAATGGGACTTGAAACCGGTACCAGTTACAGTGAGCCTTTCGTTCATTTTAACTAGGAGATAAGGGCTTGCAGGCTCATTACACCTTTAGCCGAGCTGCTACTAGACCTTGATGCTGGAAGGAATGGGAGGAGGGCATGCGGTTTCTTATGTATATAGTCTGTAGGAGAAAAAAATGCCTGCAGAATCTAGGCAAGGAATACCAATTTAGATTTATATATATATATATATATTAATATTAATTTAATTTATAGTCATGCTCTAAAAAACAACATAGCTTTTAAAAATGGGAGCATGAGGTTCTCATACATCCATCTAAGGTCTGTTTAGTTTGCAGGAATGCACCTCTCTTTAATAGACAGGAAAGTTTAAGGGGCTTAACTTTACAGAAACATTTCCCATTATCTGCTACCTTAAAAAGTATTTCCTAATTACTTCCCCTAAGACACACACACGACATACAGACACATACACGAGATCATATTAAAATAGTTTTTTTTTCCTATCAGAGTCTTCCAAACCAAAATTATCTGGAAAAGATTTAAAAATATATGTCATTTTACGCAGTGAGCTCCTACCCTAAATTTAGAGCTTCAGATGGTAAACACCCAAGATTCCTGAAATTTGAACAATGGCAGACATAAGAAACTTCATCACAGATACCTGCCATGGCCTTGAATACAAGTGGTGATGCTGAGACATTTCTAAAAGGTATTGGATGTGGCTCAGGAAATAACTGAATTATTTAGCTCTCTCTAACTCCAGAGCAATGCCTGCTATAATAATTGCTGGAACTGGGGTCTTTAAAAGAAATGAAAATCAATTAAACTATGGTAAATCCATAAAAAATGTGACTAACATGCATGTGATTGCTTCACTAGTTTTATACCGTCATCTTCACTGGCTCATAGAGTTAACAAAACTTTCATTTCTCTGGGTTATTTTGTGTTTACTGAATAATGACAATTTATTCCTTTAAATAACAGCTGACAAACAGATCTTAAGCACCAAAGTGCACTATAAAGGGAATTGCAACTTGGCATATAAATGGAGTAAAATTACTGGTGGCAAATGATGCTAGATTGCGGACCATGGGGACTGAATTTGAAACAGCAGCCAAGCAGAAGAGTGACAATACTTTATATGTGTTCATGTACTCCTTTTCCTCTGCAGTGGCTTATACTCTTATTATTCCCACACAAACTGGTAAAAACAGAAGGCATGACAGATAACCCCACTCTACTAACAAAGGTTGAGTCATTTCTCTGGAGCAGAAAACCCCTGGTGGGGACCAGAACTCTCAGACCAGCTAATGGTAAAGGAGCAGAAAGATCACTACAGTTACGATAACATTAATTCTGTTGAATAACTTACTCTGGGCACCCCCAAGTACACCCACAAAAATATTACCCTGCTTAAACCCAGTCCACTCAGGGTGATGGCAGGCCTTAATTCAAAAAGGAGAAATGCTCCCACAAAATGTCCTCCAAAGGCAATCTCGGTTTTTAGAAAGATCTTGTACCATATAACTGTGTGTCCCATATAACAGGCTTCCACAAAGAATACCCCAATAGAGTGAACTAAAACATTTAAGGATAAACAACTGAGGCCAGGGGCTGCCTCAGCTATTATCATCAAGCACTTACGTATAGCTCATTGCTATTTTTAAAGCCATTTCACATGAATTTTCCCCACTTACCCACACAGCCCTTTAGGTCATTTAGTTTCTTTATGTTCTGAGGGTTAACTAAAAATGGGAAAGAATGGTGCTGGTAACTGGGAATGACCCATCTGACCTCAGGCTAAATTCTAATAAAGCCTTACATGCACCTCTGCAGAGAGCCGGCTCTGGCCAATGCAGAGGGACATTAGTAGGGCACTGGACTCAAAACGCTCTCAGAGTAACTTCTAGACCCATATTCCTGCCTCTGCTCCCATCATCTGTCTTCATGAATCCTCTTACCTGCCTCTTAATCAATTCTATGTCATATGGCCCTCTCTCAATGATATATGTTCAGTTAGGCATCTGTCCATCCTACCCCTGGGCAGGGAAGTTTCTCACCCCCTCATTGAGCCTGTGCTGTAGGCAAGTCAGTAACTTAGCAGTTCCCTTCTTAACAGTGCAGGGCCTGAGGCAAGAGGACAGAGTTCCAGGTACCATAGGCCTAAATATTTAAAGGCTATAAATTAACCTAACAAGCTATTAAATGTTTTATTCTTCTACGTTAACATATTTAGTTTCACAAGCTTTTTTCAATGTGCAAAGCTACAGTTCACACCAAGTCGGGAAAACATATTCAGAATTAACATCATTTTCTTGCATAAATCATGATTCTCTCTGGGGTTTGGCACACAGTGCAAAGGGAGGGGAGAGGAACGTCCCTCACTCAGTCCCTCAAACCTTCCCTTTCCTTTACCCAGGACCACCCCAGGTGAAACACCTATCTTCTCTTCCTCTGTGGGATGAGGGTAGAGGTTCACTCACAGCCTCTGCCGGGTCTTGCCCTCCCTGCCTGCACTGCACACGCACCTCTTGGAGCACCTGAGATGTGGTCTCTAAGGTTTATCCCCAGCTGAAAGTGTCCCCACCAGACAATCTCTGCCCCATCCCTGCCGGCATCAGCCTTTCAAGTCCCTCCCAGCAATCTGTGGCTGGAAAGCCAGGGTTGAATTTGGAGATCTCAGATGCCTCCAAGTCCCCAGCTAGAATTCACTGGTGCCTGGTCCCCTTTTCCTTCCACCCTGGCTCTGTCCCACACTGTGTCCGTGGACATGGACATTTCAACTCGCATGTCCGAGCTCTGTCCTGACCTCCCATCAAACTTTAATCAGGCTCCTCTGATCCCTCTTCTCACCACACCTCAGCCATGGTCTGCCATCCTGCCCTTGGACACCAGAGCCCAGTTTCAGCAAAGAATCC